TTTACAGGTTTCCGCCCACTTTGCTATAATGCTGTCATAGTCAGATTCTCTTTCTAACTTGATTAAGTGGCGACCAACATCAAGACGTGACTGTAGACTTTTAAATTCTTGGTAGATTTTTACACAGCCTTGTTCTGGGCACGAATAAGAAGCAACCGATCGAGTTGCTGACTCTGCTTCTTCTGACCGGCTTATTTGTACCTCCGTTGGGGTTAATGGTCCGACATCTTGGGCCTGAGTTGCTACTGCACGAAACGTGCCGACATCTTGAGATGGTCGGCCAAATGGCTGAAGCTCTTGGATTCCTGTGGGACCTTGTGGAATACCATACTTCTAAAGCTGTGCGAGCGAAAAATCTTGCCGGTGCCCACATTGTATGCTTTCCAAGCTCTCAGTCCAGCGGGCTCGAACAGAAAATTGTTCGGTGCTTGAATACCAGTCACGCTATGTTTCGTCACACTTTGAAAAGGATCTTGAATTTCTGCAACAGTGGCATAACAGCCCTTGACCCCACCATACGATTCAATAGCAAGCTTCATGTCTTTGGCAGTGTTTATGTCATTTCCCTTGTTTATAAATCGCCGCATGTGACGATCGCAACGACGATACGGCGTCGCAAACATCTTTGTCGGCTCGTGGTCGCTGAGGTCGTACCGCAAGATTCTGATTCCGACTCGCGCACCAATACTTGGCAATGACAGGAGAAGAAACGCATTGTCATAGCACCCAGCGTTATGGGATCGCAGGAAAGCCTCACTGAGGTTGGAATAACTATACTTTAAAGGCACAAGCGTACTTTCCAGGATCGATGCCACAGCAAACCAAATTTGAGTGCATTTTGTCAAAAAGATGGATGTAGCTTCTCGTCTAGAGAAAGAACGGGATTGTATTATATTAGTATTGTCACCATTAGGCTTACAGGCAATGTAGAGATAAAGCTCCATATTACCAAACACCCTTGTAATAGGGGATTTATTTCAATCATGTATTCGCATTTCCTTTTTACCCGCATTTTTACTTACATAGGTATATATATTTCATATTTTATTAATTACTAGATAAGTAATTGTAGTAGGGTGTCCCCAGTGAGCATACATAGTATGCTAGCGACTTCAACATTTTCAGAAAATTCCGTTCTTCTCTTCCCTTCTCTTCCCATCTCATCTCATCTCACCTCATCTCATCTTATCTCAGTCAGTGGTGTAAATTGTGTAAATTACGATTGTCTAGATAATGACTTCTGCGCCGATGTAACATTGACAGATGTCTTTGTTGCAGTATCACTTTTTCGTTGCTCTAAGTTATTTTGATGACTACTAGATTAGTTTATTACTCGTCCTGTTATGCTGGCGTGATGAACAACAAAGACACCTGTCATTTCACTGTTGGGTGGTAAACGAGACTACTTACGCCAATTTTCCTGCGATAATCCACTTAGGAGAGGGGTTAATCAAAGTGTTTCGACTCCTATTTGGTAACGGTTGGATGTTCAAGCTAAATGTTTTAAAATTTAAAAGAAAACGCATACGTCAGAAGTATTCGACAGCTTCGAGAGTGAAAATTAGCGAGGTTAAAGCGCAGGAATCATTCTTCGAGCAATGCGCGGAACAGCTATGGGCTCATCAGTTTCCGTTGTTGTAGCAGAAATCGTCATGCTAAACATCAAGGAACAAGCCCTTACAACTTACGAAGGAACGCGACCGCTCTGGCTAGCTACGTCGACGACACTTTTACAGCCTTACACAAAGACGCAATCGACGATTTTCACGAACACCTGAATAAATAGAACGGCCACATACGGTTTACGAAGGAAACCGTGGAAAATACTGACAGACTACTTGGCGAATCATCTTACAACCCAGCCTGCGAGGCTACCCCGTTACACATCCAAATTGCATTTAACTGATTTTCAATCAATTAGCTATTAATTTCATATTTTAATCAGTCAATTATTGCAAACAATAAAATTCAATTAAATGAAGACAACAAGAGGTGGTTTTTATTGTGTATATTACTTATATTAAAGACCATAGAAAATAATACAGCAAACAAAAGTCAATCACACACACGTGTTCAACACAAATTTCTATTGAGGTTTCAATAATTAACACGAAAAAGAATAACACACAAAGAGGTTTTTTAACAATAATTTTATTTGTCTACCTTAAGTTAGATTCTCAATTTTCCATTGCATTTTTAACTTATTTATAAATTGTAAATTATTAAGATTTTTATCAGTAAGTTTACAACTAGATATGTATATTTTTGTTAGTAAGATGAGCAAATCCAGTCGGCGTCGGAGGTCATCACTAACAGCAGGAGGCGGGTAATTCTGAAGTGAAATTTGGTCGACTAATAAGTTTATGTGAGTGTTATTCAAAGTATTGACCCACGATAAGATTTCTCGATAGAATTGAACACTCATTTTGCACTCTAAAAAGGTGTGCTCTAAATCATGGTTTTTACACTGAGAGCGTAGGTAATTGTACCTGATTTTCAATTGCTTGAGTTCCTTATTAGTGAAAGAACCCTCGAGGATGCAAAGGAAGGAAGAAAGAATGATATGGATGAGAATATCTAGGCCACGCACTGTCTAAAGGGAGTAAAGTTCACACTTAAGACTTACGCGTAGAAATGCGAAAGGGGCATAAAACAGGCAAATGTTAAGGATCTGAGGGATACCGGTACCAAAGGCACGACTGTGGCACATCCCCCAACGCATGAGGACGCAAAGAAACAAAGAAAAAAGTTATGGGGAGAGTTTATAAACCAACTGCGCTACACCCGTGAAACACGCGTGGAGATTCAAAAGAAAGCGAAAACTGGTTAAGGAACTTAAGGATACCGAGACAGAAAAACGCAACTCTGCCACATTGCTATACGCGCAAGGATGGAAAGGAACAGGAAGAAATGACATGGGTGAGAAATTCCAACCATGACACTCGCGAAATCGAGTGAGGTACAAGCGTGAAACACACGCGTGGAGATGTTAGGGAAGACTAACAGTTGCTCCTGTTAAAGATCTTGAGGATTAGGGTGAAAATGCGAGTGTGGCACATCGCTAAATGGGCGACGATGAAATAGAGGAGGGAGAAATGATATCGGTGGGAATCTCCACTCCACACACAAATGGGGGACGATGCAATGGACGAGGGAGAAATGATATAGGCGAGAATTTCCACTCTACGCACGGTGTAAATCGAACGAGGTCCACGCGTGACACACACGTGCGAAGACGTGAGGAAGGGCCAAAACGTGTTAAGAAACTGAAGGATCCGGAGACCAAAGACGCAGATCTGGTACGTCGCTCAACGCAAGGGGATGCAAAGAAATAGAGGAAATGATATGGGGAGAGTTTACATCCTACGCATTGTCTAACTCAAGTGGACTGCACGCGTGAAACACGCGCGTGGAGACTCCAAAGTGTGCCACAACCTTCTCCTGTTAAGGAACTCGAGTATTCCGAGACCAAAAACGCGACTGTGCCACATTGCTAAACGCGCGTGGGTGTAAGGGACCAGGAAGAAATTATATGGGGGAGAATTTCCAACCCTGACACTCGCTAAATCGAGTGAGGTACAAGCGTGAAACATGCGCGTGGAGATGTTAGGGAGAGCTAAGACTTGATCCTGTTAAGGTTGACGGGATCGAAAATGCGAGTGTGCACATGGCTAAATACGCGACGATGCAATGAAAGAGAAAAGAAATGATATAGGCGAGAATTTCCACTCCACTCACTGTGTAAATCGCGCGAGGTCCACGCGTGACACNTCAACGATGCCTTTTTTGTGTGCAATGTTTTGAAAGACCGGAAATACCAATGAAGTAGCTGAAGTTTTCTTATCACAAAATTTTTCAGCTCGTACAACATCTTAATAAGAAGAAACAAGGCTGCTCAAGACCATAAACTTGTTTGAAAGATATCCCGGTTATTTGGATTTCTGAAGAACCGGAGTAGGTCTCTCATGTCTCTTTACGAGCATAAATGCTAATGCTTTACTGAGAAGATGCTTTCCATCTTTCATTCCAGTTACAATTGAATACACATTGCTATGGTATGTGGCAAGAGAAGGTTGCTAATAGTGGGGGTACTCAACATGCTGAGGGTTTTTGCTTTCCACTGTTTTGCCAGCTTGCTCGCCAGATATTGTTTTGCTTAACTTTATAAACACTACTTTTCACCGCATGGCAAGAGTGCTTTTTAGTGGTTCCTCATAAAATTAAGGTTACTTCGCAGTTACGCATAAAATGCACTTTTTGAATTAAAGTTCTACTCCCCTTCTTATTTGAAATCTTGTCTCCATTGCTTCTATTTCGCTGACATAATCAAGGTCTTCTTACTCCTCTTGGAAAGCACTTACATCTCGGTTCAAGACACCCCTCTTATTCAGGGCTGACAGCCTGCTGACATATCTTGCAACTTGAGGTGTTGAAAGCCATTCCTCCTTTATAAACAATTTAGTTCCATTTGCTGTTCTTAGACTCTTCATTTTAGATGCAATATCATCAGTATTTGCTTTAACACCGGTTTGTTCTCCTTGGAAGAATGTATCCCGCAAAACAGACCGAACGCGTTCAGAAAATCGGTTGCCCAACCCCCCACCAGTGAAGGACTATCAGCTGATACTGAAGGCGATTATGCCACTGACGGTGCAACACTAATTTCACCTAGCTTGCACATAGTCTCCAGTGACAGGTTTACAGGTTTCCGCCCACTTTGCTATAATGCTGTCATAGTCAGATTCTCTTTCTAACTTGATTAAGTGGCGACCAACATCAAGACGTGACTGTAGACTTTTAAATTCTTGGTAGATTTTTACACAGCCTTGTTCTGGGCACGAATAAGAAGCAACCGATCGAGTTGCTGACTCTGCTTCTTCTGACCGGCTTATTTGTACCTCCGTTGGGGTTAATGGTCCGACATCTTGGGCCTGAGTTGCTACTGCACGAAACGTGCCGACATCTTGAGATGGTCGGCTAAATGGCTGAAGCTCTTGGATTCCTGTGGGACCTTGTGGAATACCATACTTCTAAAGCTGTGCGAGCGAAAAAATCTTGCCGGTGCCCACATTGTATGCTTTCCAAGCTCTCAGTCCAGCGGGCTCGAACAGAAAATTGTTCGGTGCTTGAATACCAGTCACGCTATGTTTCGTCACACTTTGAAAAGGATCTTGAATTTCTGCAACAGTGGCATAACAGCCCTTGACCCCACCATACGATTCAATAGCAAGCTTCATGTCTTTGGCAGTGTTTATGTCATTTCCCTTGTTTATAAATCGCCGCATGTGACGATCGCAACGACGATACGGCGTCGCAAACATCTTTGTCGGCTCGTGGTCGCTGAGGTCGTACCGCAAGATTCTGATTCCGACTCGCGCACCAATACTTGGCAATGACAGGAGAAGAAACGCATTGTCATAGCACCCAGCGTTATGGGATCGCAGGAAAGCCTCACTGAGGTTGGAATAACTATACTTTAAAGGCACAAGCGTACTTTCCAGGATCGATGCCACAGCAAACCAAATTTGAGTGCATTTTGTCAAAAAGATGGATGTAGCTTCTCGTCTAGAGAAAGAACGGGATTGTATTATATTAGTATTGTCACCATTAGGCTTACAGGCAATGTAGAGATAAAGCTCCATATTACCAAACACCCTTGTAATAGGGGATTTATTTCAATCATGTATTCGCATTTCCTTTTTACCCGCATTTTTACTTACATAGGTATATATATTTCATATTTTATTAATTACTAGATAAGTAATTGTAGTAGGGTGTCCCCAGTGAGCATACATAGTATGCTAGCGACTTCAACATTTTCAGAAAATTCCGTTCTTCTCTTCCCTTCTCTTCCCATCTCATCTCATCTCACCTCATCTCATCTTATCTCAGTCAGTGGTGTAAATTGTGTAAATTACGTAAATGACTTCTGCGCCGATGTAACATTGACAGATGTCTTTGTTGCGGTATCACTTTTTCGTTGCTCTAAGTTATTTTGATGACCACTAGATTAGTTTATTACTCGTCCTGTTATGCTGGCGTGATGAACAACAAAGACACCTGTCATTTCACTGTTGGGTGGTAAACGAGACTACTTACGCCAATTTTCCTGCGATAATCCACTTAGGAGAGGGGTTAATCAAAGTGTTTCGACACCTATTTGGTAACGGTTGGATGTTCAAGCTAAATGTTTTAAAATTTAAAAGAAAACGCATACGTCAGAAGTATTCGACAGCTTCGAGAGTGAAAATTAGCGAGGTTAAAGCGCAGGAATCATTCTTCGAGCAATGCGCGGAACAGCTATGGGCTCATCAGTTTCCGTTGTTGTAGCAGAAATCGTCATGCTAAACATCAAGGAACAAGCCCTTACAACTTACGAAGGAACGCGACCGCTCTGGCTAGCTACGTCGACGACACTTTTACAGCCTTACACAAAGACGCAATCGACGATTTTCACGAACACCTGAATAAATAGAACGGCCACATACGGTTTACGAAGGAAACCGTGGAAAATACTGACAGACTACTTGGCGAATCATCTTACAACCCAGCCTGCGAGGCTACCCCGTTACACATCCAAATTGCATTTAACTGATTTTCAATCAATTAGCTATTAATTTCATATTTTAATCAGTCAATTATTGCAAACAATAAAATTCAATTAAATGAAGACAACAAGAGGTGGTTTTTATTGTGTATATTACTTATATTAAAGACCATAGAAAATAATACAGCAAACAAAAGTCAATCACACACACGTGTTCAACACAAATTTCTATTGAGGTTTCAATAATTAACACGAAAAAGAATAACACACAAAGAGGTTTTTTAACAATAATTTTATTTGTCTACCTTAAGTTAGATTCTCAATTTTCCATTGCATTTTTAACTTATTTATAAATTGTAAATTATTAAGATTTTTATCAGTAAGTTTACAACTAGATATGTATATTTTTGTTAGTAAGATGAGCAAATCCAGTCGGCGTCGGAGGTCATCACTAACAGCAGGAGGCGGGTAATTCTGAAGTGAAATTTGGTCGACTAATAAGTTTATGTGAGTGTTATTCAAAGTATTGACCCACGATAAGATTTCTCGATAGAATTGAACACTCATTTTGCACTCTAAAAAGGTGTGCTCTAAATCATGGTTTTTACACTGAGAGCGTAGGTAATTGTACCTGATTTTCAATTGCTTGAGTTCCTTATTAGTGAAAGAACCCTCGAGGATGCAAAGGAAGGAAGAAAGAATGATATGGATGAGAATATCTAGGCCACGCACTGTCTAAAGGGAGTAAAGTTCACACTTAAGACTTACGCGTAGAAATGCGAAAGGGGCATAAAACAGGCAAATGTTAAGGATCTGAGGGATACCGGTACCAAAGGCACGACTGTGGCACATCCCCCAACGCATGAGGACGCAAAGAAACAAAGAAAAAAGTTATGGGGAGAGTTTATAAACCAACTGCGCTACACCCGTGAAACACGCGTGGAGATTCAAAAGAAAGCGAAAACTGGTTAAGGAACTTAAGGATACCGAGACAGAAAAACGCAACTCTGCCACATTGCTATACGCGCAAGGATGGAAAGGAACAGGAAGAAATGACATGGGTGAGAAATTCCAACCATGACACTCGCGAAATCGAGTGAGGTACAAGCGTGAAACACACGCGTGGAGATGTTAGGGAAGACTAACAGTTGCTCCTGTTAAAGATCTTGAGGATTAGGGTGAAAATGCGAGTGTGGCACATCGCTAAATGGGCGACGATGAAATAGAGGAGGGAGAAATGATATCGGTGGGAATCTCCACTCCACACACAAATGGGGGACGATGCAATGGACGAGGGAGAAATGATATAGGCGAGAATTTCCACTCTACGCACGGTGTAAATCGAACGAGGTCCACGCGTGACACACACGTGCGAAGACGTGAGGAAGGGCCAAAACGTGTTAAGAAACTGAAGGATCCGGAGACCAAAGACGCAGATCTGGTACGTCGCTCAACGCAAGGGGATGCAAAGAAATAGAGGAAATGATATGGGGAGAGTTTACATCCTACGCATTGTCTAACTCAAGTGGACTGCACGCGTGAAACACGCGCGTGGAGACTCCAAAGTGTGCCACAACCTTCTCCTGTTAAGGAACTCGAGTATTCCGAGACCAAAAACGCGACTGTGCCACATTGCTAAACGCGCGTGGGTGTAAGGGACCAGGAAGAAATTATATGGGGGAGAATTTCCAACCCTGACACTCGCTAAATCGAGTGAGGTACAAGCGTGAAACATGCGCGTGGAGATGTTAGGGAGAGCTAAGACTTGATCCTGTTAAGGTTGACGGGATCGAAAATGCGAGTGTGCACATGGCTAAATACGCGACGATGCAATGAAAGAGAAAAGAAATGATATAGGCGAGAATTTCCACTCCACTCACTGTGTAAATCGCGCGAGGTCCACGCGTGACACACACTCTTAGAGACGTAGGTCAGTTTCGTGGGATGATTTTACTTCGTGTCTAATTTGTCCATTGTCTAATCTGTCCATTGTCGCAAGAAAGTTGTGTTTTTATTTTTTTTGCCTTTCATCATAGGATATAAAAATATCTAGTGCGCGACCCGGAACTTTTGGTCATTTAAACCGAAATGGTTTTTCTTCTCTATCACACCAAGAGTCATGCCACAAAGCTTTGGGTTTTAGTGGTATTAAAACGCAAACCAGAGAAATTCTCGAAGGAATCTCATAATTCGACTACTTTTTCAACAGAATTTTAACGATGGGTTAGTAGCACTGATTAACTTATCTTTGCTTCGAAATTGAAAATTCTGATTTCTTGTATTTTTGTCTTGCGACTGTAGTTTCTTTTCGCTAAATTAAAGAGCTACTTAGTAGGTTTTTCACCTTGGTCAACTAACCTAATTTTAGATCGAAGAACTGCTTCGTAGATACGTTGAAATTCTATTGTTACGATGTCATATTCTGCAATTTCAGCGTTTAATTGCTCTTTATTATTGCTGTTTCTTTCTGTTTTTGTTTCTGTTTTATTTCTGTGTCTTTTCTATTTTGTGAGACTTCCTATTTCCAACTAAATTAATTCACATTTTAACCTTTCCTTTTTCAAGCTTAAGGTGATTCCCTAGTAAAAGAACCCGCCATAGATTTCCGATGAAACTTGGTATGCTGTTGTTACAGGACAAGGAGATATTAAAAACTTAGTAAAAAGAGGGGGTCACCCTGCTTGTTTTCACGCCACAATGCTGACAAATAAGGTTATTTAGGTGACTTTTGGTAATCTCCGTGCGCAACAAATAAGCTCGATTATTTTTCAATGTAGCGTATTAAATCACACAGAGTTTGACTTTCTTTGATTGTTTATTCATCTACGTCCCAGAAAAAAATGTCTTCAAATACCCTGCATTTTTTTATTCTTTAAAGGATACATAATTTGGACATGCGCCGTTGAGCGCGTTATGTCTCCCGCTGTAGTATTTATTTCATTTGCCAAAAAAGTAGCCATAGGTTTCTGCTAATTTTTTTCTCATTTATTGAGGATACTGTTCTCATTGAAATTGTGAAATAAAAAGTGGGGGTCACCGTGCTCGTTTAAGAGAAAAGGAGAATTTATTTAGCTAATCGACCTTAGTTTGAGGGAAATTTCTTACGTTTTGTAAGCGCACGCGCTCATGTGCGTGCTAATGACGCGAAAATCGTGCGCAGTAGGGATGCGCAATGCAATACTAAGGAATCACATTAAAAACTTCAACTGTATAGCCGGGTAATTTGCTTTAATCAGCTCGACATATTCGTTGTCTTTCAATAGGGAGTTTTTAAATGTCCATAGCCCGGGATCTCGCTTTTGACTAGAATTTTGGGTCAAGTACAATAGCTTTTCGGTTGGGAGCGTTGGAAACTTTGGTTGTTTACCATTTACTCGGAAAAACCGGTTGGCCGACAGTTGTAGTAAATGGGACGCGTGAAATCCTGAATGGAAATTTCAATTTCCACGGGGATGCGCTCGTTCCATTCCCACGACTTTTTTCCCGGAAGATAGTATCAAAGACGATCCAAGCCAAAAGGCCCTGAACTAGTAAAAACTAGCAAATGGAACGCATATTTTTCATTCGGGAATTCCGTTTAGGTATTTTGGTCTACCGTTCCGGTCGACAAAATTGATCTTTCCATTTACATTCCATCCGAAATTCCGGTATTTTGGGGGAAATGGTAAACAACCTTTGGTATTGGCTTTGACGACCCATTTTGAAATTGATTTCGATACTAAAATGAAGTCAATCCTGGAACTGACTCTCAATGATTTAGACTCGTAAGAATAGCTCCTTTCAGTTGGATCAAGCTTCCTAAAAACATCATTTAAACAAATATTGTCCATCATCGATTCGAGTTTGTCACGATATGAAGCTGGTCTCCAAGGAATGCCACCTTTTTTTTGTTTTTTTTTTTTACATTTTTTCAATCCTATTCAGGCCCCCGTTTTTGTGTTTGCCAATATTATTTTTGTTTTTGTGTATTTTTTTTCCTGCCTTGTTTTTTTTTTTTCTTTTTTTACTTTTGGCCGTTTTGCTGTCCCAGAATGAAATTAAACGGGATTTTGTTTACTTGATCACAGAAGTTTTCAGGAACTGGCAGCACGGGTGCATTATGAATAAGCTTTGAAAGGCCACAGATTTAACAATGTTGACCTGCCTCATTTTTTTAAGGTATTTTCTAAAATACCTTAAAGAAGTTAAGTTTGTCGCTATTTTTTTCGAGTTTGAGAAGTGTATCCCTTAAGCATAAACATGTCTTTAGGCCACTTAACGTTGAACGGGATATCTGTTTTTCCATTTTCCCAGCCACATTAATTGCATCTGAATTTGTGTTGTTAATTTTTAATCCTGCGCATCTTTCAAACTTTTCCAGGAGGTCAAGCAGAAGACTCATTGATTGAAGTCTTTTTAGAAAAAACTGTTGTATCATCCGCACAATGTGTTATTCACCTGCATAAACGGTAGTATAATTTTCATGCTTAGTCTATACTACGTACAGAAATCTAACAATTTTAAAAGAATGTACATGCAGCTCAATCAAGATATTCGTATGTTAATAAGGTAAACATAAGCTAACATAACTTCGGACTGAATCGAAACTCATGGAGAAGACTTGTTGTCTGCAACGGTTCACGTCAGGAAAAAACTTCAGTTTCAAATCAAAGTTTAATTTGTCAAGAGTTAAGAATTTGTCGCTATAGTAGTTCTTACGTAATATATCAAACACGAGAGACAGTGTTTCATCGGGATATCCAAACACCGAGAAGAGATTCGAAAATACGACGCGCAGCGGAGTATTTTGACGAAATTCGAGGTGTTTGGATAGCCGATGAAACACTGCCTCGAGTGTTTGATATATCTTCTCAATCGAAACYAAAACTAAGGAGTAAACAGARAAGCAAAATCGTCAAAATCTATGCTAATTAAGACCGGGTATCCAAACCTCCTTTACGGTTGTGATTTTCTTTGTTTTAACTTGATGAATTATTAATGAGTTTGAGAAGGTAAGTGCCAGAACAATATAAATTCGACCGTGCCTTGCGCCGTCGCATGCAATGTCTTGTTACGCTAAATTCTTTGCGTGCTACAATATTAGCGCAAAGAAGTTCTCGCGGCTTGAAATTCCCACCGCAAAGAAGTTCTAGCGTTTCTAAAATCCTACCGCAAAAAAAGTTTTTGCGGTTTTAACTTCCTAACCGAAAAGAAGTTCTTGCGGCTTACAAGATCCAAGCGCAAGCGACCCGCAAGAAGCCGCAAGAAGTTGCCGGCTCGCGGACGCAAAAAGAAGTCAATGCTCGTGCATTATTTTTGGGCTGTACTGTATATCGATGTATGGGTGCAAGCACGAAGTTTAAAGAGCACGAGAGAAGCGTAAGAGTTGCTCGAGGTGCAGCCGAGAACAACTCTAACTTCTTGAGTGCTCTCCAAACTTCTCACGTGTATCCATACCTCGATATACGCACAGTTAAAAGCATGACCCAATTGTTTTATAACCAGCGACAAACACTCGGGTGCTATTTAACAAATTGACGTCACTTTTTCAAGTGTTCATGCGACATTATCAAAGTGGATCCGCAGACTACCTTGACAATGTTATGACGAAAGAAAGCAAAAGTAATATTGATTTTATTCATACTCTTTATGGTAGGTTTATAAATCTCGGTTTACATCTATCCACTTTGATTTCAAATCTTGTATTATATAAGCTTAGGGTGAAACGTTCACTATTTCTAGTTGGGTATATTAGCTTGAGCGTTTTGGTATCGAACAACAGGAACAGCAACTATAGTACTAGAATTACTGTTGCCACTTCTGTGCTGTATCTGCTGCTACTGCTACTACCACTACCGATGCTTTTGCCACTGTACTAGTGGTGCTGCTGATACCGATAATGCTACAACTTCGGCTTCCACTACCGACTATTACTACTGCTGTTATGTCTACTGCTACTGCTACTGTTACTATTTTACTGCCCCCGTCACTGTAGTTGTCACTGTAACTGCCACTGCGGCTTCTACTACCATAGCTACTGCTACTGCTACTACTGCGTTCGCTTCTTCTTCTGCTTCTACCGTTAAAGCTACTGATGAAGCTGGCGCAAAAGCAACTGCCACTGCTACTACTATTTGTATCGCTAATACAGCTTGAACTGTTATTAATCCCTTATAAGAAAGATATAATGTCTCTGACTATTATAGGAAACCAGAACAAGCCAGTTCTCATATCTTCCCGGTTATGTTGGGTAACTCAATATCACCTTCAAGGCAGTCATTTACTCTTCCGATATTTCTGGGTTGCTTGGCTGAAGATGTCCTGGTTTTACACAGACACTTTCGTATTATAACTGCTATGATTATAATCATCAACACTCCTCCACCACCAGAGGCACCAATTATGATGTAGTTGGGACTGTTCTGTGGCGCTGCAGTAACTTCGTCACCAGGCGTTGTGCTCGTAAATTGGACTGCTATCGAATTAGAATACAGGGAAAGAAAAGAAGTTAAAGGAAGAAGGTAAGTGTTGACGCATGTCAAATCACCAGTATTAACTGGGAAATATGGAATATCTTTGATAGCAGTTTGGAAGGGGCAAATTCCTAAGCTTAAATGAGAGACAACGTAGAAAAATAAACAGACAAACAAACATATCAGACAACTGAACTGATAAAACATCTTGCATGCAGCTCGGGTTTGGCTTAACTTTCAAAAGGCCACAAACTTTCTAGAGTGTTGTAAAAGAAAAAAAAATATGTAAAAAAGGTCGTTTTCTATTTGTCCGATTAAAAAAATAACACAGTCGACAAAACGATAAGGCACGTCATGGCCATGTTTTTTTTTTACATGGCAGCGGGGCAAAAGACCCACGACCAATCAGAAAGTACGTTATACTATGAGTGTTTTATTACAGAAATAAATACCTGTGGGTTCTGTCAACTCAGTGGGTTCTGTCAACTCAGTGGACATAGATGTGCTCTCGGTATCACGCGGAGAGGTCAACGTTTCAGGTATCTTCTGCGTAGAAGAGCTGGCAGTTGATGTCAAAGGCTCTTTTGTAGGCAAGCCGTTGTTTTTGACAGTCAGACTTGTCTCCGTCTTGCAGGAAACATCTCCATTATCACTAGCGCTAACAATCAGATGGTACAGTCCTGACGTCAAATTCGTCGTAATTACGGTGATAACGCCAGTTTTTGGATCAATGGAGAACGCGCCGGATTTGGACATGCCATAAGTTATGTCACTGTTTATTCCACTGTCCAAGTCAATGGCAGAAACCTTGGTAAGTGTGTCACCTGGGTTAAGAACCGAGAACTCAAGCTGCAGATTTCCAGATGGCTCGATAAAAGTTGGACAGTTGTCGTTCTCGTCCAACACGGTTATCTAGACGATGGCGACTCCCGATTTCTGCGGGAAGCCATTGTCCGAGGCGACAATAGCCACATTAAATGACGGTGCTTTAATGTTCTCAAAATCTAGCATTGACGTGCTGTAAAGTTTACCAGATGTACCGCCAATGGCAAGACTATTTTCAACCTCTTTGTCACTTACTACCGTGTAAAACACTCGGCCATTTCTTCCCATATCGGTATCGTTGGCATGTACTTGCAGAATCATTGTTCCAACAGGCGAGTTTTCAATGATGGTAGCGTTATAAAATATTTGGTCGAAGCTGGGTGAATTGGTGTTTGGTTTTGCATTCTGATCGCAGTATTTACCGTCAAATGCTGGATAACACGCACACGTATCTGGCAGAATGCAGTCCCCTTGAGAAGAGCAGTTTTTCACAGAACTGCAATCGGGAATGCTGCATGCACGACCTGACCAGGAGTTATTACAGCGACAAAGGTCATATCCAACACATTCTCCGTTTCCTGTAAAACAACATTAGAATGCTCTCAGTTGCTAGTTGTGCGGCTTATGATTAAGCAGGGAGAATTTACAAAACAGAAGAAAACGTTATGAGAATAGACCACAAGTCATGCTCACACGTTTCATGAATTGTCTAGACTAGTACAGACTACGAGTAGTCCTTCTTTGGCTTAGTCCATCGCGCGAGTGACGCAAAAGAACACAGCGCGAGAAAAGTGCGCGAATTTTCGCCCGGCCATTTTTTCCTCGAGGTTTACTATTACGGTCACATTCGACGGACAAAGCGAAAGAGAGACTTCACGTAATCTATGATTTGGCTTATCAGTATGTTAAATAGCCTAATATTTCGAGTTTCCTCATATTTTTTCTAAGTTGATTACCATGTCAGTAATTGGGAAAAACGCTTTCCTAGAACTAGTTGCGGATTAACGATAAAGAAAACAAAGGAAAACTCAAACTGAAGTACCATTGCTTGGATCAAAAAGAGGAACTCTCCCAGATATATATCATGACCAGTTACAGAATGGATAAGTTGCAGGAAAAGGTAAAAAAAAAAAATCACTCAAACAATTTTGGAGGGTCTCAATGGGGTTTACCTGATAATGATGATGTGGGTTTCTCTTACTGATAGCTGCGCTCCGCGTTCTGCAAAATTTACTGATCTCCAAGAAGTGGGCTGAAATTTTAACTCCTAGCTGAGATATCACTCAGAAACTTAACCCAAAAATATGAATTCCGTTTTTGTGGTTATATCATGGGTTTTGACTTTGTACTGAAATTCTTTAATTTAAACACTGAAGTCCGTTTTCATGTGAAAGAGGCTCTGTACTTAATCTTAACTGATAACTGAAATTCCAGCACCCTAATCTAGACACTCATTTTAAATTGAACAAACAAACAAAAGAAATCATTACCAGAACATGAATTAACAGCTTCGCACGAGAAGTTACTGCAGTCTGTACCATTGTAGCCCATGTCGCATTTACAGAGTTCTGCCTCAATGCATGCTCCATGATTGGAACAATTGTTCACAGTTGTGCAAGTAGGTTGACTACAGTTAGCTCCAGTGAAACCAGTGTAACAACTGCAAACAAAGTACACCCGCTCGGATTTTTAATAAGCGACCACATTCTAGATCTTTTTACGTAATCTAAAAATCCGCGTTTTAATTATTAAAATTTTGATTATTTTTCAATTTATTGGTAACCTCTCACTAGGTCCAGAGGTGTTCAAAATTGCAAAGAGGAGAATGGGGAGGGGGGGGGNAGGGAGGGAACTTTAATACATTTTACAGCAATGAGGCAGAGGGAGAAATGCGTCTCCGGTCCTACATCCACCAAACTCTATTTGACTTGCATATTGTTTCGTATTGATTTAGAGGCCATGTACTAAATGTAGGCTCGCTTAATTGGACAAATCATTGGTAGCCAGACAAAACAGAGGCTTGTGGTGTGGGGTTTAAAATTACTGTTTTGGCAAGTAATAGCAAGTGTACTTGTTTTATTACCTGCACGACACGTTGAGTAACTCCGTTGAAACACAAACACCACGGCCACTACAGTTTGCAAACTCACTACAGTCAGCCACCACACTGCAGCTTGCACCTAAATATCCCGTGTAACAGCGACAGAAGTTACTTGCAACACACTCTCCTTTCCCGGAACACTGATTGACAGCTGTACAGTCAGGAAGCGCGCAGCTCGCTCCAGTCCAGCCATAGTCACAGGCGCATTCGTCGAGTGTTACGCAGCGTCCATGCTCTTGAAGAAACGCAGTTAAAATCATTAGAACATTACTTATACACGAAGGAAAACCTTGACTAACGGAAGAAAGAAAGCAAATGATAACTGATTGAACCGCAAGCTCGAAACAAAGGTTTAGTGGTACTATGACGAAAATCGCATCTTTCCTATCGCAGCCATTTTAAAACATAAACAAGTAGCCTGTTTGAGAAGATAAATGCTGTTTACTCTACTCAAATATCTCTTTTCGTTCCAGAGATATTCAAGCTTTTAAAATATGCAAATTGGCCCAGTGATGACGTCATACACTCAACCAAACTTTGATCAAATGTAATGAAAAAGATATCTCAGCCAGTTTGTACCACAAATGTTTAATTCTTTGCAGTAAGATTCTACTAAATGTGCTCCACAATTTGAGCCTAACAGTTTGGTTACCATGGCAACGTACTGGGTTCCAGACCTCCCCAATATTAAAGGCATTTCTGGCCCCCTTTGACGTTCCATTTTGATATTCGCAAATAGTGCCTCATATGCTGGATCTAGCAAGCATATAAATATGTCAGCTCAAGTTTGTGGCCTCGTTTAATGTTTTGCGCGCTGAAAATCACTAACATATTGAAATCAAGTGGGGGGAATGGAAAAGAGTGAGTTGCCATGGGAACATAATTTTTTATAGCTGTAGGTGTGTTTTCTGTAGAACTATTAGCCTACCAAGTTTCAACGGTCTGCGCTGCAAATTGACCACTGTTACCTGAGCAATAATCCAAGTGTTCGCATGAGTACTGCGTACAATTGGTACCAGTCCAGCCTACATTGCACTTGCAAACATCATAATCCACGCAGAGTCCATTGCCAGTACAGTTTGATACATTGAAACATGTTGGAATAACACTACAATCTTGACCTACGGAAAATAATAAAACCATAGCATAGCTTTAACACTTGCTGAATCTTTACTATGAATGAATAACTATCGACAAGATAGCATAGCTGAAATGTTATACAGATCTCATAAACGTCCTCACGAAGCCTCTCTCTCCACCTAGAAGAGTAGACGAGTACAGGGCTGGGGTATACGTGTTGGAAAGAAGGAGCGAATTGGAGGGAAGAGGGGGTAAGCTGCAGTGGACTTGTTTCACATGCAGAGAGTCTGTAGTAATACCAAAACCGTAATAAAGTATCAGAACAAATAAACAATTACGGTATTGATTGCTGTGACTGTCGCCAATAACTAACCTATGTATCCAGGACTGCACTGACACACGTCCGTCGTCTTACACACACCATGGACAGGACTTGTACAGTTGTTGACATTGTGGCACTCAGCTGTAAAAATAGGTAAAAGCTAATAAATGCTGATTTATTACAACAGTAACGGCGATTTATTACAACAGTAGATTAACGGGAGATAATTTTTCGAGTGCTAGTTTTGCCATAATACAGCCAATGATCTAGAATATAATGCCCAGAACATTAATATATTTCTGCGGGATGTATATCAATCCCTTATCTATCTAAAGCTTAAAGACTATAAGAACAGAAATCACACTAAGATTGAGAGATAAGATAAGATAAGATAATATATTTCATGTCAAATTACACAGGGGGTGGTCTCCCAGTCCCCCGAGCCAGGAGCTCATGATAAAAGTGAGGCACGAATAAACAATTCTTTTGATTGTACTACTAATCCAGCTGGGCGTCATATATCGAAAATGGCCGAGTAGTCTCGGTTGGCAGAAGAAGTTGATGTTTGTTTGTTTGCTTTTTGTTTTGCTTCTGGTTGTTTTCTCCCTTCAAGAACTAAACAGCATCATTAGATTAAAAATTAAATAGTCCCGGGCTGAAATATTACGAAACAAGGAAGGTGTGGAATTTCTAACCTTTTAGTTCGCAACTTCGACCTTCCCATCCCAATTCACACACACAGAATCCTTTAACGCATTTTCCATGGGCGGTGGAACAGTTTAGACAAGAACCTACCAAAAAAAGAGACAAAGAATAACATTTAGTGAGAGCATAAACAACAGATCCAATTGAAGTGGCGAGACCCAGATTCCTTGGCTGAATGTAAAAATTTGTAAGCATAACGGACTGGCTCTAAATTGACGATTTTATTATAATTACTCGTATAGGAGTTGTTTCTACAGTCTTTAAACGTTCTGTGCAGAACTAGAGCCTATGTGCATAGTAACAAGTGAATCACAAGTGACCTCGGCCGTATAACAAGTAGAAGCCATGGAAATGCTCACGAATAACACTAGTGATTGCGTCTCAAAGATTACAATGCTCAGTAATTGGAGCTCTCATCCTTCGATGAGAGCTTCGATTTGGTGTTGGAGGGGGTGGTGATGGTAAGGGATGCGGCCGTGGGTGGGGAGGGAGAAGGAAAATTAAACTCCATCGTCTTCAGACGTTAACCACCTTCACACCGGACGTTTTTGATATTCAACGACCGGGAGTGGACGGCTTTTACTTGGACCTCCGTTTTTTTTTATTTTTTAATTTTTAAAATTTTTTTTTATTATGAATCTTCGCTCAGTACATTCATGTGCATGAACCATCATCTATTATTATATTAAAAAAAAAAAAATTAATACCTTTATCACAACTTTCTCCTGTCCATCCCTCGATGCATCCACATGTTCCGTTGACACATCTGCCTTTACCTGAACACTGACCTGGACAATCTAAAGAGAAAAAAAAAAATCAGCTAGATTATCATTGATTGCTCAACAACTTTACATTCATTGACTAAATGGCTTGCACACTTTCCCTTCCAGCATCATCGTCTGTTAGAAGCAGATATCGGGATTAATATGAATGTAAAGTCGTTCAAATATTTACGATCTCCTTGTGTGAGAAATAATCGTTTAAAGCTGACCTTTTCCATACAGAAATTTTAGAGAGTTTACAAAACAAATCTTTTTCGGAAGTTATTTCTAGAAATTTTATGGCTAGTTTATTGGTATCTATCATTTTTTTGGTAGAATTAGAGCCATTTGACTACTGCAGACAACTCCTCTTAAATTAATAAATCATTCCACACAGAGAAACATTGATAAACGTAACTAGTTTCAAGAACTTTAAGTGCGAAAGCATTGAATGCATAAAACTTTACCTCGCTTGAAGGTTTCTTGATCAGTAAACGTTGTATCGTTAGTTATAGCGACGTCAAATATACAGCTATGTAAATCGTTGTCGGAAATGTTCAGAGATTTGCACATGCTTGTCGCTACCTGTGCGAAACATAGCAAAAAAACAAACGTGCGATAAATTAGTGGGAATATTCAAGAGCCATAAGTCTTCTACGACTCCAAAATGAAACACACACTGTTCGTTTTCATGATTGTAGCAACGATGGTATCTGGAAAGTACTACAACATCGTTTAGGGTACTTAGACTCCTTAGCGTATGAAAGCTGCTGGGATGCTGGTGGATAAATCTAAAACAACCTTTGAAAGCTAACAGCCAGCTATCGGTGCGTGTCGATCAGTTTTTTTCCACTGATAAAGGGTTGTAGTTAGCCTACAACTTACACATTAATCAACTTCCCCTTGTTTGTGTTAAAGTAAGGATAACAACTTTGAGTGGCTGATAAATGGGAAAGTGGGTGACAAAGTGCTCGCTGATTATTTTAGCCTTGTGAATCAATGTAGCGTAAACAAACCAAACCTACAGCCCAGGGGGATGCACACAATAGATATATTTCATTTTGTTCAATAATTTGTGATATGAATGATAGATTTAATGAATGTTTAAAAAAGCTACCACTATAACTAGAGCCGCGTTCTGATTGGTTGAGCAGTCGATTTTCATGAGGCTATGTATGGACTGTAAAACACACGGTCATCGCTTATCATTGGATTTTATTAGTCCGTTTCCGGTCAACATAGCCCTAGCATAGTTTGAGAATCTACTTTAGGGAAAAACGAAGTTAGTTTTGTAAACCTCGGGTAAGGTTGCCAATGATCTCGGGTGGTCCTCCGTCATGCTTCAACTCCATTAACAAACGTTCTTACCTCTAACAAAGAATTTGGAATCCCGTCCAATGAGTAAACGGAAAGATACGATGGATCCGTATATGTCAGATCCATGACGTCTTCGTGGTAAAAGTTTGACGAGTTCCAGGACCAAGAATCAAGTCTCCCTGATCCATTATGGCATGCCTTGATTCTCCCTAGATAATAAAATTGCATTACATTGGTTAGAACGCAGTGTTCATAAGGTAGATATATATTGCCTTACCATACTATATTTAAGAAATACAAAACATGTACCGCGTTTCTATCGAGTTATAGAAACACGAGTTGAAGTTTGGGAGAACGAGAAATGCTGTGGGAACACGAGCCGCAAGCGAGTGCTACCACAGCTTTTTCGAGTTCTCCCAAACTTTCACGAGCGTTCCTATAACTCGATAGAAACACGGAGAACCTGTTTTCTATTTCTTTTAGAAAACACAACGACGAGAAATTACGTCAATAGCTCGATCGTGCTAGTTCTGTGTTTCTATCGAGTTTTAGTATAAATCTACTAGCGTTCTATCACGAATGCCGTTCTCTGATTGGCTACGCTACTCACTATCTATTCTGTGATAGATATTGAGTAGCGTAGTAGTGTGCCCTTGCTAACAAAATGAAGGCCGCATCTTGGCGTTTTCGAAGTGTCTGTGAAGAGGATTTAGTTTAAGTTTTAAACGACTTGTAGGTTTATACTAATGTATAGATTTAGGCCAGCCTGAAAGCGTAGCTCCTGGGCTGGGTTGTTCAGAGCCCGGTAAAGCTAACCCAAGAAAAGGTAGAATACTTTGATTTCATGTAACTTTGCGGTGAGGCTTTCTGTATATTGTTTGGCCTTCTGTTTTGAATTTTAATAATCACCATATAAACAAAACAAAGCAGCAAAAAAACATTTGTATAGAAGAAAACGTTATAATTCGGTTAACTTTCAATCCTGAGTTAGCGTTAACCGGCTTCTGAACAATCCTGCCCTGTTTTTAACAAGTTAACCTGACATGAGCCCGCGATCCAATCGAAAACCAGCACTTGGTAAGCGGCCAACTTAAAAACAACACGTGACCTCAATGAGCTGTAAACTTTCAGCCCGCGATATGGGTACGTGATACTGGTCAGCGGATACCTTGTTTTGACAGGTGTCAATTGATCATAACATGGATGTCTAATATCAAACAAGTACACGGTAAACCAAGGCTGCATGTCTCTGTCAACCTATTATTTGGAGTATGGCCGCCATGTTGCGCGACTCCGTCGTCGTCGTCGTCGCCGTCGTGCGTACGCGCCCACGAGCAATACCACTAGCCATGATAACCATGAGAAAATCAACTCATGGGTTTCCTTTTCTTTCCTATGTGAGTGTGGGGCTCCGCTAAAGCAATTAGATTATTCGCTCTCGATTTCTATCGCACGATAGTTGACTCGGGCTTCGCCCTCGTCAACTATAACGCGATAGAAATCTCGAGCTCATAATCTAAATAGAATGCTAAATGGAAACATGATTTCAAACCAATCAGCGCGCGTATTTTCTTAGCTATATACCGCTTAGTATATACCACACAGGTAAAGTACTTTTCACACGTTCTGATTGGTTAACTCAGAGGTAATTAGTGAAGTGCTTTTCACCTCCGAGCAGAGATTCAATGAAATCTCCGATCATTGTCGTTTTATGGCCGATTTATTGCGGTAACATTACTGCTTACATGACTCCGCAAACTGAACAGCGTCTTTGTAAAGAATTCTTTCTGGTCCCATGAAGTCATTTGTTGCATTGTTGTCCATGAAGCCACACAGTCCCTCAGTGTGACCTTTGTACGCAGCAGTGGGTGAATAGAGAACATTCAAGTACTGCCTCTTCATCACACGGCTGTGTCGAACGTCAATAGTCACAGTGACTCCTATTAACGAGAGGCAAGAGAAATCACGATTAAATTAGAGACAACCTCGATAAAGCTCGTAACGAAACGAAGGAGAACTATAAACAATCTGTAATTTCGTTCAAAAAAAGCTTTAGCGTATAAACTTACGGTCTACGAACTAGAAGGAAGTGACAGACATACGACATTCAACGTTGATCCACTCTCTACTTGGTATGTTCAGCTTCTCAGGTAAATAAAACGTACTTTTCATCATGATCAACATAACTTGACCACTGACAATTTACAAATTATGATTAGAACAATCAGCCCTATTCAATATTTTCCGCAAACTCCTCGACTCCCAAACTCGTTCACAATACTCCTCGGTTGTCCTCCCGGAATGTAGAATTTAGGCGCAATCAGTCGAAACTATCCGCGTTTAATTTCCTCCCCTTCAAGCTCTAAGCGGGTTTCTTGGTTTCCTGCACTTTGCTTTAAACTACAGCGGCACCAGAGGATGAGGCTATTTTGGAATGGCCACTAGCTGCTCTAAAGACCTTAGAGTAGTGAAGTAACACTGGTACAATTAATGGTCAAACCCTTCCATGGACCAGAGAAGATCTCCGATCATTTGCATATTGCATACTCGCCTGCATCGTACTGCAATGAAATAAGTGCAACACTGTTCTCTTCAGCTTCAAAGGTAAAACGCCTTTGACGATCTAACAAAACTGTGCCATTGTTGATATCGATAGGTTGTGAAGAGTTGCTAGTAATATTTATTAACATTCCATTGATTCTGTTGAGAAAAAAGTATAGAATTAACACTGTCACTGTAATTTTAGCTTCATATTTTGCACATGAACAGAAGTAAGTACTTATTATATTAAGTTGCTTGGTTAAAAATCGGTCTGCGTAATAGATTTAGCCAAGCTTAAAAGCGGAGCTTCTGTTTATAATGAAATGACTTAACTTGAGCCTGCGATCCAATCGAAAACCAGTAACTGGGCAGCGATCAACTTAAAAATAAACACATGACCTCCGGTTGAGCGCTAAATTTGAGCGTGATACTGGTCAGCGGATACCTTGTTTTGACAGGTGTCAATTGGTCATAACATGGACGTCCAATATCAAAGATTTAAACCAAGGCTGCATGTCTCGGTCAACCTATTAGCTGAGTATGGCCGCCATGTTGCGCGCCTTTGTCGTCGTCGTACGAACGCGTCCACGAGCAAAACCGCTCTCCATGATAATCCTGAGAAAATTAATTTATGGGTTTTCTTTTCTTTCCTATATGGGTACGGTGCTCCGCGCGCTTGGCAGCTCTTTAGGGCCGCCGGAGAACCGCTAAAAAATATCAGTTTTCAAATTGTAACACTTTGCCTCAATTTAAAGTATTTGGGGTATAGCTGTGTTAAATACATCATACAAGCAAAAGACTGCAAAGAGATTTCGCGACTTAAAAACAAATAAGTACAGTAAATTCATAGCTAAAGCACTTCAATACAACTTCCATGAAATTCATGCCGCCATGCGAATAAAAACTCAAAAATGGTGCAACGAAATAAAACAAATAAATAAATAAATAAATAAAATAAAATAAATGGCAAGAGAATAAACAAAACTCTTGGAGTGTCCCCAATTAGCCCACATGGGCTAACTAACTGATTGACACTTAAATAAAGTTCTTACTTTATTGACACTTAAATAAAGTTCTAGCTTGTAGGCATGCGTATCCAATGAAACACACCTGAGAATGGGCGTGTCCTGTGCGTTTTCAGTCTTGATTGTCATAACTGTCACTATACTCTTCCCAGCTTTCAGTGCAACTCCACCAATAAGCGACGCTCTTTCATAGTAATAAAAACGAAACTGAAGCCCGAAGTCGTTTTTGACACTTTTACAACCCCAGAATTCTCCAATACCGAAAAAGTCGAAATTTACCCCTAGGAAATAATAATAATAATAATAAAAAACAACAACACAAACAGTCAAGCCTGGAGCATTACATTTTATTTTGTAGATATAGGATCAATTCTGGTATGTTTTGTTTTTCAAGTTTTTAACTTGCATTGCTAATCAACAAGTGATTTATTGCTTGTTTTCAGTCCGTTCCCTGCTTCCTTGTCTGGTGATCGATTGACTGATTTATAGATTGATTTCTTGATTGTTGATTGATTGATTGATTGATTGATTGATTGACTGACTGATCGATCGATCGATCGATTGATTGACTGATCACTAAACAAAACTGTTGCTTCTTACCATCTAAGGTCTCCAGATGCGGGTCTCCTCCGCCGTTTGCAGATATTCTTTCACAATATTCACCTTCCCATCCTCCGAAACACTCACATTCGGCTTCACACCGCGGCAATATGACAGGTTTTCCATTCCCCGAGCACTCTGTCAAATCAAGCGAGTAAAAGCATTTTTTTCCAAACGGTTTAGTTATGTGACATTAGTTATACAAAATAATTTTTAGGTCAATAAATTCTCATTTGCATTTTGTGGAATCTTATTTCAAATTTCAGACTGTTACTGCGCCTGTCACCAAGACACGAGCTCAGAAGTTCAAAAAATGGCAGAAACATTATGCAACCAAGCCTTTCAATAACGTGTGAACCCTGAAGTTCAAAACTTAAAAGAATAACGATTGCATTTTTCGTTGTCATCAATCATAACTACGACGACAATTAACAACGTTCCTCGAACACAAGAAACATGAAAAATGGGTCAAAATCCACCAATAAAACCAACAAACGTTGCCATTTGAACCTGCTGAAGTGAACACTTGTTTCCAGAGTACGGCAATAAAATAACACAGGTGTTTTTGGAGCAGGCAGAGTTCTCGTGTTTCTGAAAGGCTCAGTAAAGCTTGGAGATAAGACTTATCCTTCAGATATAGCATCGAATTTCTTAAAAGCAAGGAAGTGTACGCTCACAATCTAAGGACAGATATTTTGAACATAGTTTGTTTTTCTACATACCCTGATTGGGGTACATATCGGGCTGGGTGCAGTTAGGTCCCATTCTTCGCCCAGCACAGGCATGATCTTCTCCACATTCAAGTCCCGGGTTCTTACCCTGATTGGAACTTAAACCAAACAAAAGTAACAGAAGTGATCATAGAGCGATTTGTCGTAACATAAACATTAACATGGTCGAACAAACTGCTCCACAAGATGGGATGAAAATCTATTGTATCCATGACCGAAAGATCCTGGGAAAAAGCATTCACCTCCCATAAAAGATTATGTGTAAAAACCAAGCTAACCGCATCGTGGTCACCAAAAACGGAGGAGCTACATCACTATGTTATTACATGTAAATCTGACTTCGACGGTTTACGCTAGGCATCTAACGGAGATACTATGAAGACGGCGTGGACCTCGACGCCTATTAGAAAATATATTCATGTTTTCCTTAAGAATTTCGCAGTTGTCTAGATCTGTTTAGTGTGTGTGTCAGTATAAAAACTTGCCCCTGCCAAAGATGTTAAGAATGCGTTCAGTTCCAAATAGAAACACGGAAAATTAGCCGTAGTGATTCAGTTCTCCAAAAAAACTTGAAGATTGGTTGTCTCACTCGGCGCTGTTGAAGGCTAACAACACGTACAGAGCTGCATTATACACGTGCAGAAAACTCTACTTACCATTCCGCGATTCTAACTTCCTCCGAAAACAAGGCTATCAATTGGTTAAACGTGACAATTAATTCACAGCGCAATCCGTCTAGCAAAGTTAAACTAACCATTCGGTCTCACTACGAGTTCCCACAGGACTTAGCGCGAAAATATAAATATACGATGCTATTCCTAAGAAATTATATTTAACAAAAGGTTTTAATTTCTTTTTTTCAGTCACCGACAGCCGTCATGGACAGCCGTCATGTTGCATAGACCACCCTGAATTTTATTTTTATTTTTATTTTTTTTTCACATTAGAGATTACGTAAACATGACTCCAAAGTATAAATAACACAGGTTATTATTCTAAATTAAAACTTTTATTTTAAAAAAAAGGAAATGGAATGGAAAACGTGCCTTCTATGGAAACGATTTTATTTTTATCTTTATTTTTCATAAACGATTAATTTCAAAATCCGAACTCCAGCGTGAACAAATTCCGCCCCCTACCACCTCTATTCCCTAGGCTTCTCTCAATGGCCTGTCTGGGGTTACGAAATAATGAACCAAGGTTTTCAAATTCTTTGTTCTTTTTCTAAATATATACATTTTTTTTGTGTAGTGTATCCTCAAAGCTTCAGCGATATAAATGTAATTCTTAAATTAGCGTTAGTTTTTTTGTGCTAGTGGTGAGCGTGTGCGTTACTTTTTATAAATTATTTTGGTCTGTACTTTAAAAAGGTAAAAAAAAAGAAAGAATTGTAAGTAGTGTACTATTGAGTATTGTATTAGCATTAGTTTTGTACGTAGAAGTTTACATTGTAAGTAGTTTCAGCAGTGTTTTATTGTGTGTTAATAATAATAATAATAATAATAATAATAATAATAATAATAATAATAATAATAATAATAATGAACCATGGCACATACTCATTTCCGGTCTTCTTTTTCTTTTTCCGCTTCTTTTTGTCTGGAGGTTTCGGAGGATTTTCTACAGGGGGCCTGGGTGCTGGTGGCTTTGAGATGAATCCCTGACATATCTATCAAAAGCAAAATGCAAAACACATAACTGCATGCCGTCCTCTTATATGGGGCTTGAGATAATATCGTTCAGTGACTGAAGTTTTATAAACTGCCTCACCAATCAAAGTAGCATGTCTAATATCTGTCTTTGCTATGGCAATTTATATAATAAGTCAAATTATTCTCGCATTTTTGATTCTTATTTATGATCTATTGGAGGACTGACGCATATACAGATGACGTCATTAACATTTTTTGGTTTCTTCATTATATAAAACAATAGATTCCACGTTAAATTACAGAAGGCGTCAAAATGTGCTAAGAACGTCAGTGACACACTCGGCTATCGCCTTGGTTCTTACCACATTTTGACGTCAGCTGTGATCTATTACTGAACAGTACGCATCGTAACATGGAATTTATATGTTAAGTATTGTCGCAGATTTTTTTGTTTTTTTGTTCAGCTAGTCCGTTACATAAGTTCAGTATTATGTCATCCATCTTTAAATTGCCACTTAAAACTTCGTTTCCAAGTAAAGTGTTGTTTTTTTGTTAGCTTACCTTAATGCTGGAAACTGGACAGACACAATCCCTGAAATTCCATAGGTATATATGACATTAGTGAGTTTCGTTCAAGCTCAAACTAATTACGATAGCAAGATTTTTAAGAAGGTAACAACGCATCCAAGACTACAACAGAAACAAAGTGTGATTTCTTTCAAGCAAAATGAAATATTTTCTGCTGTTTTGGATCATTGTTGACCAGTCAAAGTAGGGCGTTAGCATCTCATTTTCTTCATACAAGCCCAAGTTTTGTTTTCAATTTAAGAGTTTATTAACGTTACATTATAAACCTATTTTACCATGCTAGGATTTGTCACCGGTTTTACTGGATTTTCCCCTCCACAAAACCCAACAGTTCAAAATTCTGGTTATTTTTGGAAACAGTTGGCGAATAGGATCAACTCCTAGGATGTGCCACTGTTAAATTCTCATTCACATCTACGATCATATACTCATAGTGGTTTCCTGTTCTGAAGCTTAATCGTCGTTGCTTAACAGATCTCTTAGCAGATGATTCTTCCAAAGCAGTTTTCGTCTGAATACGGGACTTAGGCGTCGGAAAGGAAGCTACCTAAGATTTTAAACAAGTGCCTCCACAGATCAGAAGATATTGCGACGATAAACTTTGGTGAACAAAAATTATATTGACCTTACCTAGTCCATTTCTTCAGAGAAAATCCAGTGTTAAATGACAATCGCAATTGTTTTTCAAGAAAACCAACTGAGACACCAAAAATCAGGTCAGAAATTCCATAAGAGCCTTCAATTTCAGCTGGTGTTTTTCCCTTGCACTGACTGGAAGGGTAAGCCATTGAAATCCCCGCTTGAAGCGGTACACTCGCAAACAGAGATAAAGAAAGGTCCACTATATCAGCAGCTGCTACAACTAAAGAACGGAACAAAACCATTTTAAAATCTTTTAATCACGATAATTATTATCTGGCTAGCTCCGTGAGCGGGCAAGATGAACCAAATCCTGCGCTGTGATTGCGCACCCGAGCGGGTAAGATGGCGCTAACTGGCCCGCTCGGGACTACCCACCGTGTCCCGCAAGAAAAATTTCCCCGAAAGCCATATAATAAACCCTTTGTTGACTAACCTTGTTCGGTCAAGATAGCTGGATATTGGCCTCGTTCGTTTTATTTGTTTTTTGTTTGTTTTGTTTTGTTTTGTTTTGTTTTGGAATTTATGGCCCTCGACTCTGTCTCGATCCATAAAAAAACAATAACTATCCAGTCATCTTGACCTCACACTTGGTCAATAGCCCATATATCTGGCTGTTATCTGTTGCTGCGTAAAGGATTATTTGTTATCTTCTCGTTGAGAGGCGAAGTGGCCATATGGTTAGTGAGATAACGTCGGGATCGAGGGTGCCGTGTAATTGATTTGCGTTTTTTGGGGCGATACATTTTGACTTCCACAGTGCTGTTATCTACTCAGAATCTCGAGAATAATTAGACAACGACGTGCAATTGGCACGAGGACAACTGAAAGAAAACTTGACGACTTTCCGTGTGTCCACGGCACACGAAAGGATGGGGCGGAATTTACTACAAGACAATACTTCTAGTTTAGATTGGTTTCTCTCACCTATCTTATCTAGTATACTGAGTGACGGCCGCTTTGCTCCATTTTCGAACCTCTTAGGCATTGCTGGCACTTTCACAGAAATCGTGGGCGTTACTGTAAGATCTATTTTAGCTCCAGTCTTCAATTTTGGTTTTGGCTTACTCCAGTCAGATCCAAAACTGATCTAAAGTGTTAAAGGAAAGTTAATGAGATGAGAAGCTAAGGAAACAGCAATCAAGTGGACAATAAATGAACTATGGATGGATTTGAAACCCAGACCGTGAGACGCACAAACATAAGGAAGACGGACGACGGACGGACAGTAATGGTAAATATTGGTTAAGTGGCTATCCGCTTGCCTGTCCGACCGACTGGAGGGATGACTGACGTCAGACCGACTGGATGACTGACTGACTGACTGACTGACTGACTGACTGGCTGGCTGGCTGACTTACTGACTGGCTGACTGGCCGACTGGCCGACTGGCCGACTCGCTGACTGGCCGACTGGCCGACTGGCCGACTCTGTCTGTATGTTTGTTTGTGTCTGAATAACTGTCATTCATACCGAATTATCAGTTGTGTAACAACTTCCTTCGCTCCAACTACATTCACCTCCAAGGGATACCCTACCACTGACAGATGCTGATCGTCGAAGAGTTCCCTAAAAGAGAAGGGAAAAATTACAACAACTTCAAAAGAAATTGAAACAGAAATCTCTTTTTTTTTTTCATTTGTCTAGTCACTTGTGTATCATATTGACTATCAGAAAGTGCATAGTTCGATGGTAATTAGCCGTGTCAAACACTGTCTTGACAGAACGTCGTTGTTAACCGT